GCCATAGTGATATAAAGGATCAAAAATCAATCTTTGACATAGTTTATTAATTTTTATCCTTTAGCTAAATGACAAAGTTTTATAAATCACTTTGTAATCTTTTGTTGATTACACGGCACATTGAATTTAATGTGGGAATGTGAAGATTATCATTTTAAAAGAGCATGCACTTGTGTATTTCGGTGATAATTTTTCTAGTGAGAGAAAATTTCTTTTATGTTCTATTAATATCATTTTGTGTATAGAAAATATCTATAATATTTTCTAAATATTATTAGAAATATTTTCTATAAAAAATATACAAGATTATTATTATCCCAATTTTAATCTTTATATTTTATACTACTATAATCTTTACTAGCATAAAGATTGTGGTAGACTCCGGCGTTGTTCGCGTGTCAAAGTTGGAGACCGGACGCTTGAACGGTTACGTTTGCACTTTCAACGCTCTTCCTACGATTTCTTCGTTTTTACCGCTTACGGAGAAAGGTATAAATTTCTTACTCACTATAAGTTTTAGTACGTGATTCTGGACAAGATAATCATGTTAGGATGTTAAAATTTTTATATTCTACTACCTATCCTTGCATGATTACCTTTCCGTGGTATCGGAGCCAACGTACAAAACTATAGTTTTACGTTTGACTTTTAAAATTTTAAAAGTCAAAGTTTTAACTTGGTAATTATTAAAATTCAAAAATTGGTAAAATGATTTTATTTAGTCTTGGAATAAGTATTGGACTTAAATAAATCATTGAAAATGAATTTTAAATTTATTTATTTTATTTCTACCCGTAATATATATATATATATATATATATATATATATATATATATAAATACATATATTTTGATTTTTCAAAATATATATTTATATCTATTGTAGAAATAGTAAATATAATTTTATTTGGACATAAAAAATCATTTTATGATTGATAAAATTATATTGTAATTTTTGAATGTATTATTTCCTATTTTGAATTTATTGTATTTATTTAGGTGAAAACCGAAAATAAATATGGGAAAATTCAAAATGAACTTTATTAAACTTGGAAATATTATTTCTAAGTTGAATAATATTGTTGATAAATATATTGTACAAAATAATATTAGTTAGTAATTAAATAAATATATATTTATATATGTACTCGGTTTTATTACCGAACTATTATATATATTTATGTATTTGTATTTTAATTACATAAATGACTAATATATATTTTGGAAAGTTATATCTCGGTAAGAAAAAGAATGTTTTTTAAAATATTAAATTTTTATAATTTAATATTTTCGAAATCAATTTAAATGGCTTTTTATAACTTATTGAGATTTAACTAATATATTTTGGAAATAATGATTTATAAATTTTGGAAATTTTATTTCCAGGTTTATAAATGTTGAAAATAATTACTGGAAGTTGAAATTTAATTTTCATGATTTTTGAAAAATTGTTTCAAAATTTTAATGGCCTTTTTTAGTATAATTTTGCAAAAGGGCATTTTGGTTATTTGAAATATTATGGAATTTTTTTTTATGCTGGCAGAATATCAAGATTATATAAAATGATTTTATAAAATTTTATTAGATTTATTTGGACATCTAATTTAATTTTATGAGTTTTAGAAAATATTTACTCCCGTAGTATTTTTCTAGAACTGTCTGGGGTGAGCGCGGTTCACCCGGTGTATGTATATCTCTATTGCTTGTGTGGATGTATGATATGCATGGTGTATGATTGTGGCTATAGTTTATTTGATTAAAATACGGCCTGCGTGTCGTGCCTTATCTCTTAAACTCTTGTTGTAAATCTATTTCTCTCTCTTAACTCAACCGAGGATTCTTTTCTCACGTGGTGGTTAGAAGACAAAAAGATTTGAAGACCGTTTGAAGAAATCTAAAAGAATGGAGATAGCCCGAAGTCCAAGTGCCCGGATGCCAGTGGGAACTATCGTTATATTTTTCTTTTAGGGGCCACAATCATTACACGTTTATTTACTGCGTTTTGTGAATGCATGTTGAATGTATGTTGAACGCTAGTAATGGACATGTGCGCGGCCATGTCGATAGGTGAGATCAAAATTATAAATCCCTCAAGAATATTAAGTCTGTTGCCTTCTGACGCCCGACACCTATCCGGCTAATGTGCACTGTCATGTACTCAGCCTCAGCAGAGCATAGTACGGTGTATGTTAAGCTGGTTACGGGAACTGCCATAGCGTGGTCGCTGTCGCACGTTGGGTTAGACTTAACTGAGTCTCGGTCAAATGGATGGACGACTCAGAGGCAGTAAGTTGGGGTCATCAATGACAAGTCGGATGATTTTACTCACTTATCCAGCCAGGAGTTGGATCTTTATGATTTAATTGGAACTCTATTCCTTACCAAAGTAGTCTGCTTGTAAGACGTGCCTTAGCCAATTACAAGTATGGTGAAAAGGTGTCCTGGTCCGGTTGTAGTAATATTGTTCGCCCAACACCAGAACAAGAGCTGAGAGTCCGGCTCATCAGTTGAAACTATGTTCCTACCTAAATAGTTGTCTTGTGGAGTAACGCCCAAGCGGAACGCAAGATAATGAAATATGGATCTTGGCCCACTAGAGGTTTTGCCGGAAATCTCCGAATCAGTATCGAGGGTTATTGATTTGTTAAAAATAGTGGGAGATAATTAATTAAAGGCCTAATTAATTAGTAAACATGATAGATAACCTAGTTTGCAAAAATTTTCTGTAGATGGCAAACAACAACCCTTTCAACCTGCGATATGTTCTAGAAAAGGAAAAATTATCTGGAACCAACTTTCTTGACTCGGAGATGAACCTCCGAATCGTTCTTAACTATGAGAGGAAACTCTACATCCTCGAAACGGATCCTCCCAAGACCCCTAATGCCAATGCTCGTGCGTCCGAACTCACTTCCTTCAAGAAGTATGAGGATGACGCGCGAGATGTAAAGTGTATCATTATGGCCAGTATGACCGCGGAGCTCCAAAGGCTCCACGCGGACATGGAAGTGCGTCCTATGATACAATGCTTAAGAGACCTTTACCAGGGTCAGCCCCAAAACTCAGGAATTTACGTTATCGAAGTCAATATGTCTGATATCACCTCTTGGGTGATGGATACTGGATGTGGNCATGACGTCTAGTAAGTTGGAGCCTAAATCTGATAAAGTAATTTTTGTGGGATACCCCAAGGAAACTAGAGGGTATGAGTTCTATCATCCATCCGATAACAAAATTTTCGTTGCTCGGAATGGAACCTTCCTTGAGAAGGAGTTTCTTTCTGCTATCACTAGTGGGAGAAAGGTAGACCTCGAAGAAATTCGAGAACCACAAGAAGAAGTCCCGATAGTGTTGGAACATGAGCAAAGAGATCAAGCAATTGAACCTCAAATTGCTCTAGATATACCACGTAGGTCAGACCGGATACGTAATCCTCCGGTTAGATATGGATTTCTCATGTCTGATGAAGGTGACGTCTTGTTGGTAGATCAAGGCGAACCTGAGACCTATCTCGAGGCAATTACATGCCCCGAATCCGATCTATGGCTCGAAGCCATGAAATCTGAAATGGAGTCTGTGTACACAAACCAAGTCTGGACCTTGGTTGATGCGCCTGAAGGGGTAAAACCCATTGGATGCAAGTGGGTCTTCAAAAAGAAGACAGACATAGACGGAAAGGTTCATACCTTCAAAGCTCGATTGGTAGCAAAAGGTTATAGGCAAATCCACGGAATTGACTATGATGAAATCTTTTCTCCAGTTGTTATGCTGAAATCCATTCGGATAATGCTTGCGATTGCAGCCTATTACGATTACGAAATTTGGCAAATGGACGTCAAGACGGCTTTCCTTAACGAGAACCTCAAAGAGGATGTCTTCATGACACAGCCTGACGGTTTTCAAATTGCTGGTCAGTGTGCTAAAGTTTGTAAACTGCAACATTCAATCTACGGATTGAAACAAGCATCTTGGAGTTGGTACATACGCTTCGATGAAACCATTTCCAGTTTTGGTTTTGAGAAGAACTCTGACGAATCTTGTGTATACAAGAAGGTCAGTGGGAGTGTAATAGTATTCCTAATCTTATATGTCGATGACATATTGTTAATGGGTTACGATATTCCCGCTCTCACTTCTGTAAAAATGTGGTTGAGCGAGAACTTTTCCATGAAAGACTTAGGGGATGCTAGTTATGTCCTTGGCATAAGAATCTACCGAGATAGATCAAGAAAGTTAATAGGTCTGAATCAAAGTACATATATAGATAAAATCCTTGATTGATTTAGTATGTCTAACTCAAAGAAAGGATCTTTACCTATGACACCTGGCACGATTCTTTCCAAGAGCCAAAGTCTTTCTACTCCCGAGCAGAAGGAACTCATGATGAAGGTTCCATACGCTTCTGCGATTGGATCCATCATGTACGCCATGATATGTACTAGACCTGATGTCTCATTTGCTTTAAGCGTGACCAGCAGATACCAGGGAAGTCCAGGAGAAGCACACTGGACAGCGGTCAAGAACATCCTCAAGTATCTTCGCAATACTAAGGATGCATTCCTGGTATACGGTGGTGAGGAAGAGCTAAAGGTGGTCGGTTACACTGATGCTAGCTTCCAAACCGAGAGAGACGACTCAAAATCACAAGCAGGATATTTGTTTTGCCTGAATGGCGGAGCTTTTAGCTAGAAGAGCTTCAAGGATGATACAACCGCCGATTCGACTACAGAGGCTAAGTACATAGCTGCCGCCGAGGCAGCTAAAGAAGCTGTTTGGATCAAAAAGTTCATTACTGAACTTGGAGTAGTTCCTAGTATTAATGACCCTATCTCGTTGTTTTGTGACAACACTGGGGCCATTGCACAGGCAAAGGAACCGCGATCTCACCAGAAAACCAAACACATTGTACGACGCTATCACATCATACGAGAAATCGTAGATAGAGGAGATGTGATGATTTGCAAAGTAGATACTGACGACAACATAGCCGATCCCTTGACCAAGCCTTTAGGAAAGCTAAAGCATGAGGGTCACACTAGGTCCATGGGCATTCGACCGATGCCAGATTGGCCATAGTGCAAGTGGGAGATTGTTGGAGTTGTGCCCTGATGGCCAACTGTTCAT